CGTGGGTAGAAAAGGTTAGAAATGAAAAGGTATTAGAAGGAATAGGAGAACAGAGAACTCTAATGGAAGTCAATAAGAAATAGGCGAGATAGATTGGTGGGACACCTTCTCAGGCATGAAGGTCTGGTCAGAGACATATTAGGGGCAGAAACAGGAGTTAAGAGGGATAGAGGTAGATCTAGATTAGATTACTGTTTAAATAGTTAAGGATGTGGGATGTTCTAATTTTAGGAAAATGCAAAGTTTAGCTCAGGATATAAGTACGAAAAAGGTGCTTGTCCAACTAGTCTTGGGACTGATGACCTTATGATGATGATGATGAAGACTTTAAAATCTGGTTCAATAGCGTGTGAGTTTTTAACCTTCAATGCGTCACTATCGATTTTTTGTTACAAAAAACTGTCCAGAAGTTATTCGACTCATGTGGTTGAATATTGTCCACGACTCCTCACGAGATTTCTCTTGAAAAATGAAGTAGTGGCCGCCGCCGGTCTTCCACTTAAACCGTGTCGGTTTTTTAATTTATGCCCGTGATATTTTAATGCCATTTCGCGCTCGGACGCCTTTGAGTACATGAAAATGGGCATGTCGGAGGTCCTACCGAACGACGCCAGCGTGAAATCGGGAACTGAACGAGCGCTCGACATAAAAGGCAGAGTGTTGGACACCGTGTTCGTAAGAATAATAATAATAATGAGTGACTCGGAATACACATGCTACGTTTACCTGAAGAATAACAATATAAAAGCGGCTACCGTAAAAGGGCAACGAAAGGTTACATCAGTCTATAGACTCACTTAGATGTACTACCATCTTCGTACAGGGGAATCACCTACTGAAACTAATCACGTTACGACATTTTACAGTTAGGTACAAGAAATTGGAGCCATTCCGATGGGGGAACGTTTTACATAAACAGTATGTGTGTTACAGAAAATAGTTTTTCGGTTAATATTATGTATGTATTATATGGAACATCAATAGTCAAAATAATAATGGATCGTAAAAGTTTCTCCAAATGGGTGGTCATTAAAACACTCTAAAACAGTTGTTGACTGCTTAAAATGCCCCTTTTTGTTATTATTCTCTTAAAATTAGTTTGGAAGTGAATGTTAAAGTCATAAGACACGATGTTCTGTACTGTAGAGTTTTCGGCGGTAATAGTATAATAAAAATTTAAACCAAAGGATAGCACAGGGTCGAGTCCCCTTTGACAAAAAGAGGTCACATCTATGTTCGTGAGGAGTTAGTCTAGATACTCAAACGTGGACGGTGAGCACGGCGGAAAAGAGAAGGTTAGAAACTTTTCAAATGTGGTGTTACAGACGAATGATAGAAATAGAGAAGATCAAAAATGAGGAGGCACTAGAAATAGTAGGAGAACTGAGGACGCTATGTAATAGGCGAGATATTTTGATGACACCTTCTTAGGCTTGAAGGGCTACTTACAGACATACTAGAAGCAGAAACATTGATGAAGTGAAGAAAATAGTATTGGTCAATCGTCTAATCGACGTTAGAGAAATTGCTGAGGACCTAAACAAATCGATTGGCTCCTGCCATTGTTGTCGCGAAATTCGTACCAAACTTGCTCAGTTTCAACCAAAAAAATTCACTTGTTATTATTTTTGGCTAAATATGCTTTTAAATGAAGCATATTCTTAAATTTTAACGAGGCAGTTTAAATAATTTTACAAATGGTACTGTACACTTTTGTCTAGTACTCGCTTGATGATCGGTGTAGAAATGAGCTCAGCAGACAAATATGATTAAATTTGGAAATATGCTACTGCGCATCCTAATAAAGGGAAGGAGCATATCTCTTCACTTATTGAAACGAACAGTAAATAGGTTTTGTTCCAAGAAAAGAATATGTTGCTGCAAATAACTCATAAATCCACCGGAAGTAATAATTAGTTAATCTTAGTTTTAGTCATGCTTTTATTTGTTCGGTTTTGGTTTTAATCTTGGTCTTGCTCGTTCGGTCTTGGTATGGTATAAAGACAATCTTGGTCTTGAATTTTCGCAAGGCCAAGACCAATAATTTTTCTCATCACTAGTACTGAGCAAGGTTAAATTGAATCTTTCAGATTTAATTAAAAATTAACGTTTTATAATCTGCAAGAGTAAATGAAAAAAAAAATGTTGAAATGTTATATTAAAGGAAACGTGATTCAGTGGTTGGCTTTAAACAAAACTACCTTGCCGTTTTGATTGTATTACGTGAGTACACGTATTTGCTTACAATGTAAACGTCTTCGCGAGCCGAATAAGTTATTTACTGGAAAATATCAGATCTTGGGGCAATGTCTTCCACCACGCTTTCGCGAACGTGAGAGAAGACGGGTACGTTCAGCAAGTTTAAAATTACTCAATCAAATTGTACATTTACACTGTAACCAACGAACATCAACATGGAAGAAAATAGCGGCTTAGATGTTCTTCGCACAATATCGTAAAACAGCAAACAATGAGTAAATGTTGACATTGACTCTCTCAGCACAAATGACTTCTACAAATTAAATTTTAGCTGTCTACCCCCTACAAAATGTATACCGATTGCGGAAGAGTCAACCATAGTATAGTTAATCTCACTACTATACACTATGCAAATTGCCGCTCCCTAGTTATGTATATACATGTATTCAAAGGTACGTGTGTGTGTTCGCACAACTCCCAACAGCTAGTCGTTTTGCGCGCGCAGTCCTTACTACGTCATGTTACTACCCAATGCCAAGATTCGTCATTTCTAGAGGTGTGCAAAATGGTTCTTTAGAAGTATTTAAATACAAATTGCAAATACTTTTTTGATTTATTGTTTCAAATGTAAAATATAAAATAGATTTCCCTTTTGTATTTTAAATGCTAAATGCAAAATACGTATTTNATTTTTTGAAAAGCAGATGATATTTTGATGTGGTTGAAAAAATATTCATCAAATTATGTATTTTCTATTGTACGACATAAAAAGAAAAAATACCAATAAAAATTGTAATTTTTATGTTTTGTGAAGATTTTGCCGTACGTGTAATACAAGTAGGTATTCATTCAAAGAGAAACAGAAAAGTAATACGTACTTAATCATTGTAATAAGAGAAAGAAATGGAATCCATAGTTTAGCTTTAAGTTCATCTAATAAGTTAAGTTTTTTGAACTGTTTTCTAAGAATTATACGCATTTATTAGCATACCACAATATCTTGTAGTTTTCAGTTTTACAGCTGGCGTATATCATTTCGATACTGTTTTGCGGACTGTTTTGTCGTAATTCATAGAATTTCGTAGTTCCTTGCTAAAGGTACGATAAGTGGAGATTTGGCAGGTGCTGATATCAATTTGGAATTTCAAAATTCCATGGACCATGACATTGAACCCGGAAAACAATATCTATCCAATATTTTAGATTATCCATTTCCAAGGAATTTAGAATTTTTTGGACTCTCTTCAGTTAAAGAATTAGAAGGCATTCATGGAATACAAAATGGTTATCTCAAAAAAAGTATTTCAATGAAAGATAAAAATAAGTACTTTTTTTTCGCATACATTAAATATAGATTTCGATGCTGTTGAAATTAAGATAAAGGCATCGAGAGTTTCCAGCCCTTAATTACTCGATTAAGAAAAAGAAGATGGTTAAGTTAAGTTAATAGAAAGTTGTGTCGATAAAGTACAGAACTAAGTTCATAGTTAGTTGATCGTTGCAACGGAGACACACATGTACATGTCCCTAGGAACTTTTCAAAGGGAATTAATTAAGGGTCAGTAACTTACTGTTAATTTCCTGGAAGGCGAAACGGTAAATAATGACCCAGAAATTGTAGAGGAAGGCAAAGGACACGACCATCGACCAATAGTAGCATAAACGACCGGCAGGATCGAACACGAAGGTCCATTTCGATGCGCTGGACCTCGACCTGGGGTTATACGATTCCCGTCTTCTAAATCCATGTCGACTGTAATAAAAATAAAATGCGCATAACGCTCCCTATCCCTATAAGTGTTAAAATACTGAATATGTCCTCTTTGTGGAAAAAAACACCATTTTTGGAAAGTAACTCGATGAATACTAATTTGAAACCGTCAAACCGAACTTGCAATTCGGCCAACGTTTCGTCTTTTTAATATTCATTATGAGACTGCGCAAAAAATTTCAATACGTCTTGCATAGCAATGACGTCGCGACGACGACATTCGTCTCGAACGCTAGTCTCTAGCGTATTAAACATTTACAGCCGCCAGACTAACACCTTCGTCCTCTCGTCATCGAAGGGTATAATGATGTTAACGAAGCGCAGCGAAAATTTTTCTCACTTCTCTCCCCAATCACGTCGCGTTCGAATCTATCGGGCACTTTACTTTACAATTCACCGCCTTCACGCTTTGTTTCTCAGTTTCGATGTTTTTCGTCATCGTTACGACATTTTTACTAGCAACTGTTTCCCATTCCATCCCACTCCACTGCCGGATACATGACTACACAATAAATATGAAACCCTTATCACGGCTTGTTCCCCTTGATTTCACAACAGTCACCGCATATTTTTTCCATCGCCAGTACTACCTAGCTTCGATCGAAAGCAGAAAATGATGTTAAAGGAATTATGACAATACGTATGGAATACAAATAAAATTAGAAAACCAAAATTAAAGAAAGTTTATAAGTTAAACTATTGACCTTTCTGTGCCGTTACAACTACTGGTCGAATTGAGATAATTGGAGGAAGGTGGATTGGTGCCTGTTGAGCCTGGTGTCCTCCAAGAGCCTAACAGTGGCGCTTCGCCAGAACTAGCCAGTGCTACGCTCGATGGTAACTTCAAACGGCTTCGGATATCTTTGCGCTTCTGTTTTCGTGACAAATCTAATTCGCTGGCGGCAGAGCTGATATTCGCAGCCCTGTTAATATAAGTGGCCGAAATGCTGTCGTGCGATGCCGAAAAATACCTCCGCTGCTGATGGAAAGCCGAAGACGAACGGGATTTTGACATGCCCAATTTACAACTCACCAGATCTAAAACAAAACACAAATTTTAAAGAATGGCAAACAATTCGAGATCGTAAGAAATTTGTAGTAGATAATGTAAATGATAAAACTGTAAGATCAAGACTATTTTTGCTCATCCTTCCAAATTAACTCGAACGTTTCTAATTGACGTAAGATCAATAACTGTACTTGTTAGGTAGGTACTACTTAATTGGATTAAACTATGAAACTTTTTTATTAATTACATTAGAGTGATACTTGATTTGTATAAAGAGCAACAGGAAGTTATAGAGATGGGGCTGCAAAGTAAAGAAGTAAGTGTTAGGAAGGGATGCACACTGTCACCGCTACTTTTTAATATATATATATCGAAGACGCTATCAACAGATCAAAAGACAGTACAACTGTAGGGATAGATACACAGGAGCAAAAGATTAGTATGTTTAAATTTGCAGATGCTATAGCAGTATTAGCATCTAGCAAGGAGGAGTTAAATAAAATGGAAGCGGTATTGACAAAACAGTACTGTATGAAAATAAATAAAAATAAAACAAAAATACTGGTGTGCAAGGGAAGAAAATGTAGGGAAAGAACGAATAGAAAGATAGGAGACGAAAAATTAGAAGAAGTGGCTGATTTTAGATATCTAGGAAGTCAGATAAATCAGGGCGGAAGGAGTAGTTGGGATATAAAGTAGAGGATAGAGCAGAGTTGAGTCGCCTTCAGCAAAAAGAAGCCACTTCTATGCTCGCGAATGGTTAATGTAGAAATTCGAATAAGATTGTTAAAAGTGTATGTTTGGAGCACGGCGCTGTACGGGTGCGAAACATGAACAGTGGGCGTGGCGGAAAAAAAAGGTTAGAAGCGTTCGAAATGTGGTGTTACCGTGAATGATGAAGATACCGTGGATAGATAGAGAAGGTTAGAAATGAAGAGATTTTAGAAAGAATAGGAGAACAGAGGACTTTATAGAAGTCAATAAGAAATAGGCGAGATAAGTTAGTAGGACACGTTCCCAGGCATGAAGGTCTAGTCAAAGACATATTAGAGGCAGAAACGGAAGTTAAGTGGGGTAGAGGTAGACCTAGATTAGATTACTGTTTGCAAATAGTTAAAGATATGAGTTGTTCCAGTTTTGGGGAAATGCGAAGATTAGCTCAGGATAAGAAAGAGTGGAGGTGCGTGTCCAACCAGTCTTTAGACTGACGACTTTATGATGATATTAATAAATTTATTGCACACTTATATTATCAAAGTTACCTTTAAGTAATTTTAAAATATAAATTAGGTTGTTTTATAATTTTTTATTTATCGTTAGTTGCTGATTTCACTATTCACTAAGCTCAATAACTTAATAAATATTTAGAGACCTTTAGATTACAAACCAATTTACTGTTCTTGGTTTTGAATATACGTAGTAAATTATACTGCTAATATAACAAAAAATAACCATCAATTTAATAAAATTTCAATTCTTCTAACATTTGAATTTTCCCTGCGGTGGAAAGTTGAGTATAAAAGCAAACATTCTAGTCACGCTTGACGCCTTTATGGGAGGAACTTGTCGAAGTTTTCCGATTAACCTGCACCAGCATTATACCAAGATAAACATTATGTCTCAAGAGACCTTAACATCACATCGTTCAAATTCTAAATGTTAGGAAACGTTCCTTCCTTTTTTTTTTTTTGGTTTATTGTTACTCTTTTTCAGGTAACGTGAAAATTAGATGATCGTGGCTGCCTTTCAATAAAATTTCACAAAAAAAGTTTAATAAATTTAATGGAAATGGGGTGGGGGCGAAATAAAAATATTTAGAAAATAACGCCAACAAAGTCACGGAATTTACGGCGTTCTCTATTTTTACTTTGTGCTACCCGCCGAAACGGTATTTTTTTTTTTTTCAAAGGGTCTCCGTCAACAAGAAGCTATTTAAAGAATTTTGACGTGCTGATTGTTCCATCGTGCTCTGTGAATTGTATTTTTACTGCAAAGCGTAAAATTACACGTAACTATTTTCAAAACGCGTCGTTCTCTAGAAAAAAAAAAATACTAAAACAAATTCACTACAAACAGTAACAAATCGATGTAGACGTGTTAGTAATATCTATGCGAGCCGTTAGTTTTCAAAGAAAGAAATAACGTAATCCTCGTGTTCTTTTGAAAATTGAATTCGGAAAAATAAATTGAAGACAGATTGGAAAAGTTTCGACTTTCAATCTCAAATCTGGTTGGAAACTCCTAAATCCGACGTTACCAGTGGAAATCCACTGGGGTCACATCTAATTTCTTTTTATGTATGCATTTTGTTTTTTCATTCATATATGTCCCTACCAAATTACATAAATAGGCGCAAAAAAAAAAAATAAACAGGAATATTCACCATTATAAATATAAATGGTGTCGTAGTTACGTTCTTTTTTTTGTTTATAGCAATTGTGATTAGATTTGGTTTGATTAGTTCTGATTTGCGATTATTACAAGGTCAAAACTATTCAAAAAATTTGTTGATGTAAAATTTTCAGAAACGAGACAGTGGCGTACATTTAAATCATCATAGTGATTGAGTGTTCGCTGGGAACTGGATGAAACATACATACATTTTTAATTAACACAAACTGAAATGTAATCCATAATAAATAATAAGAATAAGAACAGTGTAATGTCCCCTCTCGATTTAGACGGACTACGCGCCTAATTAAATTTGCGTAGTTAGTTAGAAAAAAATGATAAGAACACAAACATGGTTTATCGGTTTATTGGTTTAACAAAATTGGTTGTGTTTGGTTCTTAATCGGTAATTTACTGGTATAAGAAATAAATATTGACTGGTTTAAATGATGTATGAATATTTCTAGTTTAACTGATTAATCAATAAAATAATTCGAAGTGGTCTGTATTCTGTCGAAACTGCCAGACGCGGATCGCGATTTCGATCTTTTTGGATTTCATCAGCGCGTCGCCGACAGCTCCGACAGTACACAGACCAACTTTTACCTGCTGTCTTAACAGCGCGTTTTAGAAAACACCACAAATGGCGCGGTAAACGCCATCTGTAGTACGATGCTACATTTTAGGATTACGTATGCTCCAACAAGGTTCAACAAAAATACAATCCTAAACTAATCCGATTCGTTACAGTGTGCCTCGAGTATTGAGGGACAACTGTCATAAAGCTATACGTCATAAATTAACAAAACTGCTTGTCTATCAAAGGCTCAAAGGCACAGCAGGAATAGTCTAAATTTTCTAAATACTAAAAAGTTTTGTACAGTGTACATGTAATTGATGAACCAGAACAAACAGTGTTGCTCTTAACGATTATTAAAATGCACGATAGGGGATTTGGACACAAAAATAAAAAAAATTGACAGTATATTTTCAAATACACGTGTGGGTTGTACCTAATTATTTACCTGTTCAAATATTTAAAAATGTATGTTTCGTGGAGTACCCAGCGAATTTTCAATTACTATGAAGATTAAAATATACTGGGGCAGACCCTTGTGTTCCGAGAATTGACCTGTCTCGTTTCTGAGAATTTTTCATCAACAAATTTTGGTTTTATATATTCTTCCAGGCTCATAAATAGGAATATGGCTTTGACCTTCAAGATGAAGGTTAAAATCAAATTGGAGGCCACTATCCGAGTTTTGGATTTGTCGCTCCCATGACGAGATATTCAATTATTTAAAATGGGACACTGTATAGTAACCAGCAATTATATATAACCACTGGATTAATCTAGTATTGCCCAAATTCAGTCTTGGTCTTGCAGTCTTGGTCTTGTTCTTGCGTTTTTGCAAGACCAAGACCAAGACCAAGACTGGGAGCGCAAGACCAAGACCAAGACCAAGACCAGGTGTATTGGCGCAAGACCAAGACCAAGACTGGCTAAGTCTCGTCTTGTTCTTGCGTTTGGGCAACACTAGATTAATCACATTTACCGTAACAATTATAAAAGGAGTCGGTTTAATTTCAGAATAATCCTCTTTTTCAAGCTTAGAATGAGTTAAAAGCGTCCCTTATCGGTTTCAGTCCACCTCCTTTGATAAATAAAGAAATTTTTATTGAGCCTCCCAAAAAATTCTCGATCGGTCCATGGGCGAAACAGCAAATCGTCGTATATTACCATCCACGATTAGTGAGTATAAAAAGGGGCGATTAGGGATGTTAGGAAATGTGCCGTTCTTTTTTTCGTCTCTTGGGATATTAGTTTGCGGTGTCCTCATAAAAATAAAACAAGCTCAACGTTTGCGTTGGTTAAACTTTCTTGGTGGATTTTATTGGCTGTAATTCTGCCGATGCTTTAAGTACCGACCAGGTGGTCGAATGTCAAACAAAACAAACATTAGTAGTCGATTCATGTGAACGTCCGAGAAAATTAACCACTGGGCTATTTTAATTTTATTACCGAACTAAAAAACAGGACGAAAATAGTCGTAAAGTAAATTTCTTTTGCCGATCTTCTTGCGCTTAGGACTGTAATCGATAAATTTTCAGTGGTAGGTACACATTTTCTCCCCTAAAATTTCGAGAAACCATAAAATTTACGGACTCCGTAAATGTAACACTATTTTACGTTCATATCCGGAACCGGAATAAAAAAGTTAATAAAACATGTACAACGGAAGGTAACCATATACGTCAGTTAGTTTTACGAGGGGACGTGTGAAAATGACCATCTAACCATTGAAACAAAGATGGAAACTACCGTCCTCGGTAAAAGTTACAAAGTTAACTAAATTTCACCTATTAATAAAAGTATTACAGACATAGTCATAATTATTTATATCTATTCAGAAATCGAAGCTGATAAGGTGAACAAGATTTTTTATTGATTACAAAACCACACCGACGTTTCGCCCAGATGTGGCTTTCTTCACGATAGCTTTTCTAAAGTCGTGTTGAAAGTGATTCCGTAATTGTTAATTTAAAATTTAATTTAAAAAAGTAATTTTTCAATAGAAGAAACTTGTTATTGAGGTGATCTAAAATACAGGAAATAAGGAATCAACCTTCCAAAGTA